CCAGTATTTTTTTTTTTTTTTTTTTTTTTTTTTTTTTTCCCTTCAATATTTCTATCTGTCTTTATTCCTCCCCATCCCTTTTTATTTTTATTTATTTATTTATTTATTTATTTTATTTATTTTTATTTTTTTATTTTTTATCCTGTCGTCTCATTTCACTTATCTATATTCTTTTCCTTGTCTTTTAATCTATTTATTTATTATTTGTTTATTTATTGTTATTTTTTTGGGGGGGGGTTATATTCTCCATTCTTTCTTACATGGTTTAACCAGTAGCCGCTGGGTGGCACGTACGTACATGATGTGGCTGTTGTGGACTGAGAAAGAGATGGCATCGTATCATGACCATTCCTGCGCCGTTAGCTCGTCGGACGGAGTTTGTTTTTCTCCAGTAGTAGCAGCTATTGCCTAAAGATTTTAGGCAATAGCACTCATAATGAAGGTAAACCTTCAAAATTATAGTATTTTAAAAAATTATAGTAAAATAAAAGCTTTGAGGTGCTTGCAAACTACCGAACAAATGGGAAACTGCCAATGCGTGCCAACAATCCGGTTATTATGTCCACTTGCCAAACTTTTTTACCCGGTGGCATTGGGTTAATATTCTCTTACCTTTCTTTCTTTCTTTCTTCATTTCCCATTTTGACATTTTTGCTCTCTCTCTCCTCTCTCTCTCTCTCTCTCTCTCTCTCTCTCTCTCCTCTCTCTCTCTCTCTCTCTCTCTCTCTCTCTCTCTCTCTCTCTCTCTCATTTTGTTCATGTAAAGTGAAAAAATATTGATATTGATGTTCATACTTTACCAGTTATTGAAAATGAGAAATTAACTTGTATTAAGGTTGTTGTCTTTAGCTTTAGAGGAAATTGATAGGACCAAACCATTTTTCTCCATAGGTGGGGGGAGGGCCACGTGGCATGAGGACGATCCCTTTGTGCCCAGTTTGTGGACATGCAGCCAGAGACAACGTGGATTTGCGACGCCACCTGAGAGTTCATACAGGGGAGAAGCCCTTCGCCTGTCCACTGTGCCCATATCGAGCTACTCAGAACAACAACTTGAAAAGACACCTGGCATTCAAACACCAGCAGAACACTGGCAGCCTTTAATTCTGCAGTTTTAAGGCTGCAAGAAGCTATGAGAACTTAGGGCATGTTAGTGAAATGGATACTTAGATTGAATTGAGATATCAGATCAATAAGCAAGATGGCCAAGATTCAGTTGTTGAAAGGATGAAGCATTCCAGAGCAAAGGTTATAAAACGTTTCTCTCTTTCTGTAACAGAACAAAGTTGTGCCAAGGTTTCCCAGTCCACTCCTACCTAAATGTTAAGTGAACTGAGCCTTTGAAGCTTGGAAATGAGGAAGCCCCAACTAAAGGCTTCCAAGTGATAGAAGAAATCCCTGTGACTTAGCTTAAGGAGATAACAGAAAGAAAGATTGATAGGCTCATACCAGTGACCTGTTTTTCTCCCGTAGGTGTGGTCAACCATCAGAGGCAAGTCCCCGGCCAGAGGCAGGAACATGTTCGTATGTGGATTTTGTGGCTACTGTGCCCGTGACAATGACAACCTGAATCGTCACATCCGGACTCATACTGGAGAGAAGCCCTTCGCCTGTCCTTACTGTCCACACCGCACAACTCAAAAGAGCCATCTAAAGAACCACATAGCCTTGAGACATGAAAAGGAGTTGGCAGAATCCCCAAAAAGTTTTTAAGAAATTTGATTTAGTTTGTGTAAGGAAAACTGATTGGTCAAGCAAGTGTAAGGAAAGTTTAGAAAAAGAAAAAAAAATCGAAAAAATACTTAATAATTATTTTTGAATAGTCAAATACAAGAGGAGTAACAAAGATTTCCCTCTTCTCTTCTAGGGAGCGGACATGTATAATGCAGCTGCCATAAACAAGCACCATGAAGGGTCGATGAGGACCACTGTTCCCCACATGGTCCTACCTCCTCCCTCAGCTCCCCTTCCTGTTAGAAGACCAGTTTCCCAAGTGTCACAGGAAGGGAGCAGAAGAGATTATAAGTGCAAGGTGTGCGGTTACCAGGCCATCAGTGAATCCAAACTCACCATACACATCCGCAAGCACACTGGGGAGAAGCCATTTGTTTGTCCGTTTTGCTCCTATAGATGTGCACACAAGAGTAATCTCATAACTCATGTGAAAACACGTCATGCAGAGCAAGGCCAGCCATAAATGAATGATCTTGAAACTTTGGGAAAATTGAAGAATGGTGATTTCCACTGTGTAACATGTATTTGGAACATCCATGAGACTGAATTGTCAGACTTAAATGAAAGCATTTTATGTGCCATATATAAAGTATGAAAGGGGAAAACAGAGAGTCATTTAATTGTAGTTGAATGTTGCCATCAGAGGAGTAACTCTCATGGGATTTTCCTCTTCTCTTCTAGGGAATGGACTTGTCCAAAGCAGCCAGTTGCCGGCACCGTGAGGGGCAGGTGACATCTGTTTATCCCACTGGTGTGTTTCTGCCTTCTTATAAGTCTTCCTCAGGAGGAAGACCAGTTGCCCAGTTATCTCAGGAGACAAACAGGAGAGAATTTAAATGTCAAACATGTGGATATCAGGCAATCAGCGAATCTAAGCTCACCATGCACATAAGAAGACATACTGGAGAGAAGCCTTTTGTTTGTCCTTACTGCCCTTATAGATCTGCTCAAAAGAGTAATTTAAGCACGCACATCAAGAATGTACACATATATGGGAAGACATAGCCATCCAGTCCCAGAAGGTGAATGCCTTTTTATTTTGTGTAGGATGTAATGCTAGAGAGAAAAAAAAAAAAAAAAAAAAAAAAAAAAAAGACTGCCAGAAATTAGTCTTAAATATTTTTTTCCTGTTCTCTAGGTGACCCCGTGGGTAGGCAAGAGCAGGGCGAACTACCAGTGTGAGTCATGCAGCTACAGCACTCGCAACAGTAAGGATATGCGTCGCCATATTCGTGTTCACACAGGAGAAAAACCTTTCGCCTGTCCCTTATGCTCACATCAGTCGGCTCGCAAGTCCAATCTGATAAATCATGTTAGAATGAAACATGGTGTTCCATACAAATAGGTAAAGGAAAGCAACAGCTGTATTAGATAACACTTACCAGGAAGAATGCAGAAATTATTAGTCATATTCAAGCAATGATATGATACTCAGTTGATCATGAATTTTTTTTTTACAAAACACAATTATCTGAAAAGCAATGTATTTTCTCTCTGATAAATGCTTCTGGACGTTAATTGTTGGAAAACCAAAAAGTATAAAACATTGGACACTTGAGTGAATGAGTTCTCGTGTTCCCGTAGGTCCAGCGATGGAGGACCAGGGCTGGCGGAACATGCCATAGATGCAGCCACTGTGGATACCAAGCTAGGGACAAGCTGGACTTGCAGCGACATACTCGCATCCATACAGGAGAGAAGCCATTTGCATGTCCATACTGCCCCCATCGTTCAGCACTGAAGGGGAATCTTAAACATCATATCCTAAGGAGACATACAAATACTTGATCTAACAAAAGAAAATACATGTACTTGATATAACAAAAGAAAACTTCATTAAAGATTGGGGGAAAAAAAAAAAAAAAAAAAAACCAACAAAATAATAAGTTTAGAGTAAGTGAACAAAAAAAGGATGCCAGTGTGGAGTGAAAAGGAAGAGCTCTCAACAGCTTAAAAGATATGAGGCCCACAGCATATTTTGAAGAATGCCCATATTTATTCCTCTTTCCTGTTTGTAGGTACCGAGACCTGGACAGAGAGGCAGAACCAGAATGCCACAGAAGTGTCCATTATGTGGCTATGCAGCTTTCGATGCTACTGCCATGCGGCGTCACATACGCACACACACTGGGGAGAAACCATTTGCTTGTGAACTTTGTTCATATCGCTCTACTCTGAAGACCAACCTCAAACGTCATATTGCAAATAAACACAGTAGTCCTCAGATATGAATTCAGTGTAATACTTGAATTATTGCTAGCTGACTATTATTAGTGCTAAGGTAAAAGTGTTAGTATTGATATTTTTAATATGAAATGTACCATTTTACTGTAGAGTGAATGTAAATTTTGGCGTCTTACAAGGCATGCCATTATAAGAAATCAGCTCAATTTTGATTGTATGTGTCATTTGACAATAAAATTTGTTTTATAGATGTGCCTTCTGATTCCCCCCCCCCAAAAAAAAAAAAAAAAAAAAAAAAAAAAAAAAACATTGGCCAAGTCCTTTAGAAGGAATGTGATGTAAATACAATTGATTTGTGCATAGTGAATTCTATGACTTAACCTGAAATCAGATTTTGAACAGGTTTATACACTATTTATGTCTGATCATGTATATTAGAAAACTACATATTTCAGTATTTCCTAACTTAGTAGGAGCTTGTACCAATTTCATTCTTTCATAAAATAGCACTGTGAGGTTTACTTTGAAGATGACAGTTGGCCATTCTGGTCTTCAAAAACAAAGGAAATAAGCCCCAGTAAACTGATTTTAGATGCAATATGTTTACACTGATATGAAGACCACTTCAGTAGAGATGGGAATTGATATGTACTAACCTTAGCATCCAGAGATAATGCTTATAAAAGATTAGGAACAGCAATATGCAGTCCACTTGGATGACAAGGAGAAATGGCAATACTAGAAATGTGGTCTGGATTTTTTTTTATACAAATAGAACATTCAGAGAATTAAGGAAAATTGCAAATATTTCTAATAATTCAATTGTTACTTCTCTTTTTTGTTATAAACCCTACATACAAATATTTAATGTAGGAGAGAGAGAATAAAAGTAAAATATATCCTGAACTAAGTTGAGCAAGTTGTAAGCCTTTATTTGCAAAATAGGTTTTGGATAATTTATCATGTTCAGGATACCATGAACTGATATATAATGATTAGTTGTCTATATGCAATATACTAATTTAGAATGTAAAGCCTACAGATTTTGGTAGAAATTGTGTGCAAGCAGGTATATGTCAGATGATAGTGAATTTTATATGAATAATTGAATTCAAAAGGAATGAAAATATTTTACTCAAAATCTTTTTAAATTTACCTTTCTGTTATTATCATCATTATTATTATTTATTTACTTAGTGTTACGTGTTTGATCATTGTCTTAAATTCTGTCAGTTTATTCTCTGATAATTGCTATTATGATTCTAGTTATGACCACTATGATTGTTATCCTCATTGTAGTTATTTTTTATCATTATCTTCATCAGTACAATCTTTATTATTTATAGGATTTTTGTTATTATTATTTATTATTACTGTTTTTTAAACCTTTTAATATGATTTAGAAGCGTTCACACTTGGTGCGATTATGAAAGTTTTTTTATTTAATTCAGTGTTGATAATGGTTGAAGGTTGCCACTGCTGCTGCTTCAGAGAGGAAAGGCAGGATGCAAACTTAAGCGGCCATTTCTTTTGTAGGGCGGTGCAGTAGCAGCAGTGGCAGCAGCACTGCGGGTGTGCTCGGTGTGCGGCAAGATGGGTTTCCGACGAACGTACGATCTGCAACGGCATATGCTCTCTCATGCAGCAGTGCGACCCTTCCAGTGCCCTCATTGTCCTTACAGAGCAGCTCTCAAGTACAACCTTGATGCTCACATTCGACTCAAACATCCAGAAGAAGCCCAGTCCGTACAAAGGAATAGAGATCCAGGATTTACAAGTGGAAATTTGACAGGATCTGTAGCTCAGGGAGCATTACAACAACAATCCTGTGAAACGTCTGATAATGGAAACAGCTTTATTCAAGTTGAATGAGATTAAAGAAAATAATGATTTTATGAAGAATATATACCAGGTTTACAAGTATGCCATCATTTGAAAATTATATATCATGGGATTGCTATTAAAAGGCCTAGAGGCTGGCAATACAATGAACAGTAACAGCTGTCTTTGTAAGCCTTTCCAATAGTTTTATCCGATGAATTATTTATCTCTTCCCTAAGTAATTTTTAACTGTGTGAATGGAAGAAAACTTAGATTTTTGCAGATTGATATTTATTGGGTTTTAGAAACAGTGCTACAGAAAAGAAAAATAGTAAAAAAAAAAAAAAAAAAAAATGTCATACAATTTAAGAGGTTTGCAGTAATATATGTAAACATATGAACTTTTAAACTGGGTATAAGAGCATGAAAGCCAGTTAAATAGATAACAGTAATGAAACAGTTTGAACAAAAATTCATTTGCTGTACCTAAATATGATTGGAGGTAGAAAATAAAGTGGTATGGTTTTCTCCATAGGGAACGGAGTTGGGAAAGCGAGCTGTCATGACAAGTATCGGAGGAGGAGGTGGCAGCGCACTCAGGACATCTTTCGTCTGTGCAGTTTGTGAAAAGATCTTCAATCACAAGGGCAACTTCATGAAGCACTATAGAACACATACTGGAGAGAAGCCATTCCAGTGCCCCAAATGCCCCTATAAAGCTACACAAAAAGCTCATTTAACTACCCACATGTTGGGAAGACATGGAGAACTCCTCCATGGCTAGTTTTGCAAGTACAAGGGTTGGTTACCACACTACTCACAAAGCCAGATATAAAGAAATCTGGCCAAGATACTCCTGTCTGTCAGTGGCAGTAAGCAAGTCAGTATTATATGTAATTTATTTAACCATTTGTATCAGTGTTCTTTTGTTATTGTTTTACTGAATATGTACTGCTTATCAGTGTTTGATAGTTATGTGTAAATTTTGATCATTATGATTTATGAATAAAGATGTTAAGAATTCTCTTGTTTCAGTGAGAATACAAGCTTATGTATCATAACGAAAAAATGAAAGTTACAGAAACCACCATTTAAATATATTGATATGGAGAGTGTAAATTTTTACAATCAGAGGTGTTGATAGGTATTGATACCCTTTTCAACAGTGTTTAATTCAATGGAAAACTTGGGAGTATTGAGTTGTGAACTGCTAATCAAATACATAATTTCAGTATTTGACTCGGAGTAAAAGAAATTCCATATGAAAGAGAGATCTTAAGAATGCTGAATTGGTTATCAGTAATAAATGAAAGGAACTACAAAATCTAATTGACAGATGTGCTTACATAATCATTAGGATGACTTAGAATTTAAATAAAGAGAAAAGAAGGTAAGATATCAAATCACCTGTCATAGCTTTGTACTTTTTGTATGCTTTATTTTAGATTACAATGCACATATGTATCTGCTCCTGTGTTAGCAGGCATTTCAGATATAAAGGAGAGGTTAAGGAAGATATATCCATGGTAATTTTGCATGTTTTGTGGTGGTGTTTAACACCAGGAAGTTTGCTTAAGAAAACTTAGGGTATTGGTTTTCTTTTCCTGTAGGGACAACGCCAGAGGGTGATTGATGGGCTGCCAGGGTTGACCCCCACCAGTGTCCTCCACCCTTCTTCAGCCGTACACCTCAGTCCTCACTTTCAGCCTCAAGACAGAGTGCAAGAGGCTCACCACCTGGGTAGTTCTTCAGAGGAAAGAA